GGGCCCCTGACACTTATTGTATGGTCTCTTAACGTGCTAGTGACACCTCTGCACCTGCGCAGAAAAGACTCGCCATGTTTGAATTGAGTTAACACAAACGTTAGTGAATAATGGGAAGAATTTTTGTGCTCTAGAGGTAAAGTTGGGCTGACACCTCTCAAATAGAAGCCGAAATTGTTGGATGTGCATTCCTGCATAACTTGAGATATCAGGCGACTGGACAAGACAGCTCCAGGAACCTCAGATAAGTTTGTTTATGTTTGTAACTCTGCCCAGTGTTATTTTCATAAATTTAGTTAGAATGAGGTTTTTTTTTGAGTATGATACATATTAATCTCCAGTCAAATTGGTGAGTGATGTTAAGATATATTCTCCTTCTGTTATGTAAATGTGTGTATATATAATCATTTATTAATTTTAATATACAGTCCACAAATTTTATATTTTCCAGAATTCCTGGTGATGTACATTTCATTTGTAATTAATAGGTCTAGAGCAACTTGTGGATATGACAGTGGTAGGTATCGAAGGGGGACATTTTTTGTGACCTAGGTGTCCCAAATTCCTACTTGTCTGTGTAACCTTGATAAATAATAATTATCTTTGTTACCATTTACTGGTATGTACCTTATGAGTTACATCCAGATAAATGCAATTTTCCACAGTATTTAAGAGTACTCTAAGATAGTAAATGTGGTATTAAAACAGGTTATGGTAATTAGACAAGTATTGGTAATTAAATGATGTCAAAAATGTTAAGAGTAAATTGTACTGATAGTAAAAATGGTAATTAATTATTAATTTTAGTAAGTAATATCAATTAATAATAATTAAAAAACATGAGGTAGTAATATGGACAGCTAATATTCAGCTAATATTTAAGCAAACAATAGTAAATAAGAAAATTACATAAGGTGACTTATGCTTACTAGTAAAATCACATAATGACATCCAAGAGTCTGTTTATTTTGTTGGATGCACCATAGACATGTGGCTCCTCCTGCATGATGGAATGATGATAGATGGACTGACTGGTGTCAATCTCCCTGAGTCTTAAGTCAATAAATTTCAGTTGAAGTTCTTTTCTTATTATTGTTTTCAAACTGCTAACTGACAAGCCAAGATTGTAATCTACTCCCTCTTTGAAAGCACACAGCATAGCCAATTTATCAGTTCTATCATGCATCTGATAGAACTGATAAATTGCATTTGACAGGGTTAAATTCAAGGAGCCAGTTGCTGGACCAGGCTTGCAGCCTGTCCAGGTCTTTTTGTAGTCCTGCCTGTCCAGGTCTCTTTGTAGTCCTGCCTGTCCAGGTCTCTTTGTAGTCCTGCCTGTCCAGGTCTCTTTGTAGTCCTGCCTGTCCAGGTAACTTTGTAGTCCTGCCTGTCCAGGTATCTTTGTAGTCCTGCCTGTCCAGGTATCTTTGTAGTCCTGCCTGTCCAGGTATCTTTGTAGTCCTGCCTGTCCAGGTATATTTGTAGTCCTGCCTGTCCAGGTATCTTTGTAGTCCTGCCTGTCCAGGTATCTTTGTAGTCCTGCCTGTCCAGGTCTCTTTGTAGTCCTGCCTGTCCACGTCTCTTTGTAGTCCTGCCTGTCCGGGTATCTTTGTAGTCCTGCCTGTCCAGGTATCTTTGTAGTCCTGCCTGTCCAGGTATCTTTGTAGTCCTGCCTGTCCAGGTATCTTAATACCTTACCACCCTTTATATACAAAAAAGTGTCACAAGAACTATCACCAATCATTGCAACACTCTTTAACAAATCCATTGAATCCTCCACCTTCCCTACAGCTTTCAAAATAGCAAGGGTCACCCCGATCCATAAGGGAGGAGACCAGAGTTGAATAACTATAGGCCAATATCCAATTTACACCCTCTCTCAAAAATCTTCGAAAAATTAATTCATAAACGAATCTACTCCTACCTCATCTCCCAAAACATTTTCAACCCCTGCCAATTTGGATTCAGGCCTAATAAAAATACTAATGATGCTATTATACACATGCTAGAACATATATACACAGCAATAGAGAAAAAAGAAGTCCCACTGGGGATCTTCATTGACTTACGTAAAGCTTTTGATACAGTTGACCATGACTTGCTCCACGTAAAATTGTCACACTATGGTATTAGAGGGCACTCCCTCAACTACCTCAAGTCTTACCTCAGCAACAGAAGCCAATATGTGTACGCAAATGGGGCAAGCTCTTCCGCTCAACCAATTACAGTTGGTGTCCCACAGGGAAGTGTCCTTGGCCCTCTTCTCTTTCTCCTATACATAAATGACCTACCAAATGCTTCGCAATTACTCAAACCCACACTTTTTGCAGATGACACTACATACGTCTTCTCTCACCCGAGCCCAGTCATGCTTGCCAATACTGTAAACACCGAATTACAGAAAATATCTACCTGGATGAGGACTAACAAACTTACACTAAACATTGACAAAACCTACTTCATTCAGTTTGGTAGCAGAGCTACAGATGTACCTCTTAACATAACGATAAACAGATCACCTATCACAAAGCTAACAGAGGGAAAATTCTTAGGAATCCACCTCGATAATAGACTCAAATTTCATACACATATACAACAAATTTCTAAGAAAATTCCCAAGACTGTAGGCATACTATCGAAGATACGGTACTATGTTCCACAGTCAGCCCTCCTGGCCCTTTATCACTCTCTTATTTACCCTATCTCACCTATGGAATTTGTGCATGGGGCTCAACAACAATTAACCATCTCAGACCACTAATTACCCAACAAAAGGCTGCAGTTAGAATGATAACAAATTCTCACTACAGGCAGCACACTCCACCAATATTCAAAACACTCAACCTACTCACCATACAAAACATCCATACTTATTACTGCACCTATTACATACATAGAACACTTAACTCTGATATTAACCCTCCCCTCAAACATCTCCTTGCCAACCTCAACAGAACACATGACCATAACACAAGGCACAGATCACGCTTTGATGTTCCTCGTGTCCATCTCACGCTATGCAAAAACTCAATGCACATAAAAGGCCCTAAAATCTGGAATTCATTACCTGTAAATATAAAAGAAACACTACCTGTTTATAAATTCAAGTCTCTTCTCAAAGATCACTTACTCACTCAAAACCAAATAAATACTGAATAACTTAACCTTAAAAATTGTATATCCTATATGTTACTCACAATTATATCACACAAATGTTAAACCTAGGACCCAATCTAACTTTGTTATTTTTTTAAATACACTACCTAACAGAATACTCCATTCGACTGAATGTACAGCAATGCAAGCAACCATATGACCTGTCTTTGTAATACTCATTTGTGCCTTATAGTTATCTGTTTACAATAATGTTTTATTACTAATTTCATCATTGCTTAGTTAATCTTAAGTTAATTTTAAGCCAGCCCGTAATGCTATGCATATAAGTGGCTTTGGCATGCTGCTCTTACCTGTATTTTTTTGTACCTCTGTATGTATGCTAAAATTACTAAATAAATAAATAAATAAATAAATCTTTGTAGTCCTGCCTGTCCAGGTATCTTTATAGTCCTGCCTGTCCAGGTATCTTTGTAGTCCTGCCTGTCCAGGTCTCTTTGTAGTCCTGCCTGTCCAGGTCTCTTTGTAGTCCTGCCTGTCCAGGTATCTTTGTAGTCCTGCCTGTCCAGGTATCTTTGTAGTCCTGCCTGTCCAGGTATCTTTGTAGTCCTGCCTGTCCAGGTATCTTTGTAGTCCTGCCTGTCCAGGTATCTTTGTAGTCCTGCCTGTCCAGGTCCCTTTGTAGTCCTGCCTGTCCAGGTCTCTTTGTAGTCCTGCCTGTCCAGGTATCTTTGTAGTCCTGCCTGTCCAGGTATCTTTGTAGTCCTGCCTGTCCAGGTATCTTTGTAGTCCTGCCTGTCCAGGTCTCTTTGTAGTCCTGCCTGTCCAGGTCTCTTTGCAGTCCTGCCTGTCCAGGTATCTTTGTACTCCTGCCTGTCCAGGTATCTTTGTAGTCCTGCCTGTCCAGGTCTCTTTGTAGTCCTGCCTGTCCAGGTATCTTTGTAATCCTGCCTGTCCAGGTAACTTTGTAGTCCTGCCTGTCCAGGTATCTTTGTAGTCCTGCCTGTCCAGGTATCTTTGTAGTCCTGCCTGTCCAGGTCTCTTTGTAGTCCTGCCTGTCTAGGTATCTTTGTAGTCCTGCCTGTCCAGGTATCTTTGTAGTCCTGCCTGTCCAGGTATCTTTGTAGTCCTGCCTGTCAGGTATCTTTGTAGTCCTGCCTGTCCAGGTATCTTTGTAGTCCTGCCTGTCCAGGTATCTTTGTAGTCCTGCCTGTCCAGGTATCTTTGTAGTCCTGCCTGTCCAGGTCTCTTTGTAGTCCTGCCTGTCCAGGTCTCTTTGTAGTCCTGCCTGTCCAGGTATCTTTGTAGTCCTGCCTGTCCAGGTCTCTTTGTAGTCCTGCCTGTCCAGGTCTGTTTGTAGTCCTGCCTGTCCAGGTCTCTTTGTAGTCCTGCCTGTCCAGGTTTGTTTGTAGTCCTGCCTGTCCAGGTCTCTTTGTAGTCCTGCCTGTCCAGGTCTCTTTGTAGTCCTGCCTGATCCTCATCTGATTCAATTCTTCTCGTTAACTTTATATCAGTGTTCGTTTAATATCTTCATTATGCACCCCATACCCATGCTGCGGGCGTGTGTATGTAAATTATTACGCAATGTGGTTCAAATGTTTTAAAGGATACACTGAGAATAGTAATTTTATTAATTAAATTTATTATGCACCTCAGATTCATCCAGAGGAAGGTAGTGAAAATAGATGCACACAATGGGTCCAGGAACTGTGCCCGAGTGTTACCGTAGCAAGTTACAGTGGCAATGAAATATTTCCATATTTATATGTGGTTACAGTCGAAATGAGTTATTTATGCAGACGTGAACACAATCACGCAAAAAAAGGTCACGAATTAAAAAAAAAATGTTGATTTGTGAGGTAATGAATGTAGGTGTGTGTGGTGGAGACACCTGGCGGCGGGTGGTGGAAGTTACACCAGATGACGTAAACAAACACACGTCAGTTGCCAACCAAGATGGCAGAGGATGGTCCCTCCAAGAGTGACATTGAGGCCGTGTTTAAGCGACTCCGTGCAATACCCACCAATAAAGTAAGTTTTTTCAGACAGGACGAGGAGTGATGTCAGTGTTGTAGCCTGGACAGTGAGCTTGTCTCCTTCCTCCAGCAATGGTGACGTCTTCCTCCACTGTAAAACTCCCGATGTTTCCAGACAACGACAAATTTATATATGTTGATGTTTTCGTTAAATAAAAAACAATTATTGTCGGCCACCTTGTGTATGGCCATGAATTTTTATAAGTTAAGATACAAAACTAAAGAGGACGTTAATCCGGCTTCAATATTTACTATTTGAAATGGATAACTTTTATTATATTTCTAGGAAAAATCTTATTACTTTTAAAACTATTTATTAATTGTATTCTGAATTAACATTAATTACGCGAAGCTTGAATTGCCAGGCGAAACTTGATGAAGTTTGTTAGATAGTTATGAAACCCAGTAACAGCTGGTGTGTTAATGTTGGCAGCCCACCACAACCATCACTCTCACTTTATGACACTTTAATTTAAACATGTTACATTTTTTTTACGTTATCCTCGTTAATTTAAACATGTTACATTTTTTTACGTTATCCTCGTTAATTTAAACATGTTACATTTTTTTTAGGTTATCCTCGTTAATTTACACATACGTTACAATGTGCAGAACAACCATTGTGATAAAATAATAAACTTCTAAGCACATTCGTGATTTCTCATTTCATTAAGGAACTGTAAATTAAAGGTGGCCTGGCTGGCAAAGCTCTAGCTTCACACACTGAGGGTCTGGGTTCGATCCCCCAGCAGGGTGGAAACATTCGACGCATTTCCTTACACCTGTTGTCCTGTTCATCTAACATGTAGGTACCTGGGTGTTAGTGGACTGGTGTGGGTTGCATCCTGGGGGACAAGATTGAGGACCCCAGTGGGAATAAGACTGACAGTCCTCGATGACGCACTGATTTTCTTGGGTTATCCTCTGGGGTTAAAAATCCAAACAAAATCATATCTTAAGGCAAGGGCAAGATTACACCTTGCAGTCAGTGTAAACAATTCACCCTTCCAGGTTAGGTGATTTTTCTGTACAGTACTGCACATTTTGATATGTGGGGAGATAAGATAAGATTTCGTTTGGATTTTTAACCCCGGAGGGTTAGCCACCCAGGATAACCCAAGAAAGTCAGTGCGTCATCGAGGACTGTCTAACTTATTTCCATTGGGGTCCTTAATCTTGTCCCCCAGGATGCGACCCACACCAGTCGACTAACACCCAGGTACCTATTTGCTGCTAGATGAACAGGACAATAGGTGTAAGGAAACGTGTCGGAATTTCCACCCGCCGGGAATCGAACCCGGGCCCTCCGTGTGTGAAGCGGGAGTTTTAGCCACCAGACCACCGGGCCACCGAGAGCTACTTTTGGTTCTTTCAGGGGTCTCACTTTTTAATCATGGGAGTGGGGGAGGGTATTAATGTGCAGCGTAGCCCATGGTCAGGTTGCACGAGTAGGAAAACTCTAAAAACTCTTGAAGAGTATATCAAAGTACATTGTAGTTCATATGACTTAACATGCTGTTGGAGTTTGAACAAGGTAATATTTATATAGGGATTCAGGGAAACTGGTTAGCCAGACTTGAGTCCTGGAGGTGGGAAGTCTGAGGGAGATGTGGGGTTGTTGCAGTTTGTAGGGTTGTTTAAACTGTGATATCTGTGCACTTATGGCAAAATAGCTATTGACGAACATTTTTTCTCTCCCTTTCTTGGCAGGATATGGTTGGTGTGTTAAAAATAAAAAGAATATGCATATTGCAAATATGCAAAGCTGTCATCAGAATGTGCCAAATGTAATTTTTTAATAATTGTCTAATGTTTTGCATTAAATATCTACAGGCATGCTTCGATTGCAATGCCAAGAATCCCACTTGGGCCTCGGTGACATATGGAGTGTTCATCTGCATCGACTGCTCAGCTGTCCATCGTAGCTTGGGAGTTCACTTGACATTTGTAAGGTCAACCCAGCTGGACACAAACTGGACGTGGTTACAGCTTCGTAATATGCAACTTGGAGGAAACACTAATGCTGTAAGATTTGTCATAAGAAATCATTTACATTAATTTCTATAGGCAACAAATATAGTGGAACTTCTCTTGTCCACAAATGTTTGTTCCTGATCATGGCAGATAGCAAAAGTCCTCTTCTTTTAACCCCCACTCCCATCCCCATCCTCATCCTCATCCTATCCTCATCCTCATCCTCAAAGTCCATACACAATACTATATGATAAATACAAGTAATAGATTTTAAATTAAATATTTAATAAGCAGATGTTTGTGAAGAACTGTATTTCATATATAGCTTGCCTACCATATCTTACTTATGGTACCATGAAGTACAATACCTTGACTTAAATTGGAACTATAAGGTGTGAAGTAAGAGTTACAGCTTCTCAGAGAAGACTGAAAACTGGAAAATCATTTAACCCTTTCAGGGCTTCTGACGTACTAGTACGGCTTATGCACCAAGGATATTGACGTACTAGAGCGCCTAAATTCTAGCGCCTTCAAATCTGATGAGAGAAAGCTGGTAGGCCTACATATGAAAGAATGGGTCTGTGTGGTCAGTGTGCACAGTATAAAAAAAATCCTGCAGCACACAGTGCATAATGAGAAAAAAAAAAGACTCCGACCATATTTTTAGTTTAAAACGGCGACTTAGCACTTTATTTTCATACGGTATTTATGGTTGTATTCTAACTTTCCTGGTCCCATTTTATAGATTGGAAGACATATTACAGAAATTGAGATGATTTTGATTGGTATCATAATGAAAAGTACCTTGAAATTGAGCTCCAAGTAGCAGAAATTTTCGATTTTGACCAAATTTCAAAAATAAACAAATCAGGCCAGGCGTCCAATACTCGTCAACTGGTGAATCTAATATTCTTTCACAAATGCACTGATATTATTTATACCATTTCTACACTAATGCAGTAGTTTGCATAATAGTAAATCTTCTAATTTTTTGTGAGAATAAAAATTCCAAATGGAAAGCAAAAGAATGTAAGAGGGGCATGGGGACATGACTGATGAACAGAGAAAATGTTATTTTAGTGCCAGGAATGTCTTTCTTGTTTATTCTGGACCCTATTTGGAAATAGGCATCTTCTGAAATTTGTGTGAAATTGGCAAAGTTGCCAATTTCTGACCACTTTATTGGATACTTGAAATCGGTAAATGGGTGGTTTCTTGTACTCATTCAATAGAAAAAATAGAGTTCTAGCAAAATAGTTATGATTTTTGTCAACTAGTACACTGAAATTGGCTGAAAATAGGGCTCAGAGTGGGCAAAATCTCCGATATGTAAACATCATCAAGACCGCTAACTTCGTGAGAGCATAATTCCGTAAGTTTTCCATCAAATTTCCTACTTTTGGTGTCATTATGATCAGGTAAAGCTTCTCTATCATTTCGTAAGAAAAAAATAATTTCTTTTTCCCAAAAATTTTCTACCCTGAGAACAAGTTTAGGAGAGGCCCTCTCGACCCTGAAATGCTTAAAAGAATAAGGGACTAAACTGATGGTAACTAATGGAAATTAGTGGACATAAGGGATGGAGCTAAAGAGGGAGAATGATAAAGAAACAGGTTTAGAAAGCATATTACCCTCTTCTTTAATTGCAGGATGATTGTTGTTTAGTAACTAATAAGGAGGACAGAAAATTACAACTTAAGAAAGCAAGGATATGCATGATGTATTTGTTGGGGACCCGGAGGGTAGATAAAGCATTCTGTAACAGTGATAGTGAAAGTAAGCTCTGTTTCCCTTAGGTTGGGATGGAAGATGTTAGCAGATTAGAAAATGCCATAAATAGACAGTTTTACCATACATAAATTGAAATATTTGGTAGGTTGTTATTAACCCTTTGACTGTTTCAGGCCCCTCTCTGAAACTGTCATTCTATGTCGCCAAATATTAAAAAAAAAAATTATTTTTTCTTATGAAAATGTTAGGAATATTTTTCTGAGTGTTTTAAGCCTAAAAATTTTTTTTTGCCATTAGTACTTACAGAGATATAGAGCCACAAAGTTTGCAGAAAGTGACGTGCGTATGGCAACACTGGCGACTGCCACCCACCCAGTATTCTTTTATTTACTCTAATTCAAAGGTTTCTTGCATTATTCAATATTTTTCTGTTCCGGGTAACTTATGTGGCCTGTGAGACCAATGTAAGGTGCATTGTTCAAAAATACATCATTTTTTTACAACACAATAACAGAACAAATTTTATCCTATTTGTTTGTGTATACACTTTGTTTACACAACAAACAATACAAAAAAAATGTTTATTACTATTGTTCCATAATATATTACATATTTTACAGTCACTAAACCGTTCCTAGAACTACTGCAGCTTGTGGAACTCTTTGAAAATGGGTATATGCAGGGGGCACATGACAATCCTAAACCATAAAACGAGTGTCTCTGCGTGTTTTGGGCGTATTGTTTTGTGTACATACATAACACCTCTTCTGAGCATTTTTCTTGGCAGTAGTAGGAGGCAGTTGCATGGGGTAGTATCGCCAGGCCTGAAACGAGAATGACGTGTGTTGGTAATTTTCGTGGGCGCTGGGTTATTGTAGGTGTTGCTCCTTGGTACTTTGCAATTATTTGTCTGATTATGAAAGCAAAAAATTCACCATATTTTGGTGTTTTTTTGGTCTTCAACTTGCATATGTTAAAAAGCATTTAGCATAGAGATAATCAACAAGATGGAAAAAAGTTTTATATACCACTTATTACTTTTGCGTACACTTTCTGCAAACCCAATCTGCATGTACATTTGTCCACTAAGCGCATATTGAGGTTGAAAGTCCATGACAGCGCAGGCTTTGAAGGGTTTTCATTGGTCTCTCTGTTGTGCGTGCACTGTGTACCATTTCGTTTTCGGGGGAACTGATGTCAACAATGTGACATCATGTTTGTCATGCCACCGAAATCCCATGATGTCATTGGCAGCAAAGGCTTGCACCTCACCTCTGCGAGTGCCAGCGTCGAACCTTGGAATATGTTTACGTTTACGACGCACTGTGCCCACATGTCTTTTCAAGTTCACTCGCAAGAAATCACTGAGAAAGGGGGCTTGTGTACCAGTTATCAGTAAATAACATATCCCCCTTTACCAGATATGGTTCCATCATTGTTCGAAACCACATCACCAGAGATACCCAATACTTCATGGTATCTCTCAAAGTATTACTGCCAGTTTTACACAGTGTTATCCAAAACTAGACCACTTCTGCAATCACACAGTACAAATAGTTTTTATACCAAAGCGTTTCCTCTTGTTGGTATATATTGCTTGAATGAGAGTCTTCCTTTAATAAAATCAAGGACTCATCAATAACAAGCTTCCTGAAGGGATAAAAATACATGCAGCACTTTTGTTTGGGTACATAAACACATTCTTATCTTATAAAACCCTGTCGCTTCTGTCAGGCCTGGTTTTGTCTGAAAAGTGTAACATACGTAACAGTATCGGGAAAACGATTGACACCTATAATGTCACAAAAACCCTGGAGTGAAATCAGGCGTTCTGTTGTCCAGTATGTGGTGACAGTGTGCTTTATACACATGTGGCATAAGCATTATTGTGGAAAAAAACAGGTACATCTCTGCCACAGTTGTCTACTTCAACTTGTGTAGCCGTGATTTTGGTGAGAGAATTGTATTTGCCATGGTGTAATCACAGTATGTGTTTGTTTCCCTGACAATGATGTCCATCAGGGGTTCATCGAAGAATAACTCAAAGCAGTCCAGTTCACTGGCATTGTTCCCAAGTGGACATGATGGCTTTATTCCACTTTGTGTTTCATCAAAGTCATGGGGACTGGGAACAAACTCGTCACCGTCCTGCCAATCCCAGATGCGGTCTGCTGGTGGGGTCTGGATATTGTACCGTGGTTGTGCAGGTTGTGGTTGTGCAGGTTGTGGGAGTGTGGGGTCGGGTGAGGCTGGTTGTTGTGCAGAGTCAGCAGTGTGGGTAGTAGCGTGGCCCTCTGATGGTGCCCATGGGCCATGCCACCCCCACTATCACCACCCCTGCTCCTCCCCCACTCACATCATTCATACCCATCGTTACAATATCGTCATCTTCACTATCAGGTCATGGTGTAGGGCCACAGGATGTGCTCCCAGAGTTTCTCCTTCCCCTTGGAACAACATATGAAACACTACCAGACCACATGCTACGTCGTACATACTGCCGTTTCACTGGGGAATATTCATCCTCACTGTCACTAGAACTGCTTCAATTTACCTTGAAATCACTATCACTATCACATTCATACTAACATTGGGTGTTGTACACGACCAAATAGTTTCCTCTTTCGTCTGGTACAGGCGAACGTGAACGTGAACAAGCCGTGCCCCGCACCAGAGGGGGAAGGTTGTGGGTCATCTGGGTTTTCATCACTAATTACGTTATCCTGGGGACTTTTTTCCCGGTAACACTACTTCAAAAACCCCGGAATTCACTGTCACTGACATTTTCATTGCTGTTAGAGCTATCACTTGGGAACAAAAGACCTCCAGTCCGCCGAGGAGTGAGGAACTTCTTACCGAGAGGCATGGTGGAAATGGACTAACAAGATGGCGTTCCCACAATGCACCGCTGGGTCCCAGATTTTTTTCACAGGGTGCACACCGACCACTGAGACCCATTCTCCCTCATGTAGGCCTACCAGGCCTTTCCCGCTTGATTTGAAGCCTCTAGAATTTGTGCATATAAATACGTCAGAAACATTGGCTCGTAAGACGTATTTATACGTCGTAAACAGTCAAAGGGTTAATTATGAAGTTTTTCATTTTGAAGCCTTTTTTTTAGCTTTTGAAGTTTAATCCTATGTTTTGCATCGTTGCAGAGAACTTTCTTCCGTCAGCATAACTGCACAACCACAGATGCCCAGCAGAAATATAATTCACGGGCAGCACAACTGTACCGTGAAAAGCTGTCACAAATAGCACAGCAAGCTATGAGGATTCATGGGACTCGGGTAGGATTACCATCTTGTAACGTATTTTTGGGCATGCAAACTAAATTATGCAAACTTGGTTTGGGGAGTGATATGTTTGATAGTTGGAAAAAAATTTTTGAAACCTTAAAAAAAGTTTCTTTATCATTGGTGTCAATATGATTTCTTGATTGTTCCTATTAGTGGCATGTTATAACACTAATACCAGTATCTAATGTGAAATTGACAAGGATATAACTATTCATGGATAATAATGAGCAGGTAATATAGAGTACTAAAAATAATTTGAATTAAAAAAAACGCTAACGATAAAAATGTAAAATGTACTAATAATTTTCACTCGGAACAATCTTTTTTTTGGCAGAGGCTTTACCTGACATCTTTTGCTCTATTATCTCGACAGCATAGAGCACCTGTAGAATATATACAGTAGGTGGTAACAATTTCTTCTGGCTTTCATGCAAGTGGAATACTTGCTTTAAATGCTATTAAGATAATATATTTACAAACGTGTAAAAAATAATGGTTGCTTTATCAAGTTTAAAAAAAAAATGGTGCATATTAATATTTTTTGGCAAATGAAAAATAAGATGTATATAGGAAGAGGGGATAAAGGTTAATTAAAATAAGAAACCATAATAAGTACAGGGTCTGAGTAATATGAAAATTATCCCCAAACCAAGTACTGCTCTTGTATGAATGCAATTTGTAATACAGTACTGTATAGGATTTGTAGTACTGTATTTTTTTATTTCTCTAGTAAGGTTATGTTCAGAACTTTGTTTTAAAATTGTTTAAAATAAAGACTAAGTGAGGGACAGCTATAGTGACCCCCATCTAAATCCACTTTACTTCAAGTCACTAGAACTTTTGTATAATAAGGTATTGAAGTTTTCAGAATGAGTATTATTGTAAGGTACAAAAAGAGTACAGTAGTTAATGTGCTTTTGAATACTGTTCTTTTAAGATTTGTTTCTATTTTACTTAATTTACTACCAGCATGAATGCAGAAGCTTTTAACATTCCATAAACTATTTTCTTGAAATTAGCTGTCGTTGTGAATGTTTATTTTTCCCACCAAGATGGAGTTAGACCCTCAGCAAACCCATAGACTGGCTAGCACAGTAGGCCTGGTCGCATGGTCTCCTGCAAGTTTATCAGCATCACAATCAACCACTCAGCCAAAGTCTATAGTGGTGAGAGAGGGGAATAGTTAATGGTGTTTGAGTGTGGCACAGTCTTTGCTTTGGTTTGAAACTGTATTTTATGAATCATACTGTTGGAGACTACAGCAGTTTGCTGTAACCTGTCTATTCATCCTTACTGCACGTAAATAATACCAAAATCTACAAGGTGATGTATGCTGGTTGTAGTAACGTGAAAATACAGATGGCTATGGTGAGCACACAAATTCAGATGTAACAAAACATCCATAATGGGAGCAGGAAAGTTACAGTATTTTGGGTTCTTAACAATATTACAGAATTGTGCTTAATTTCCTTTGCTATAATTCATAAAAAGATACTACTGTGTGTTTGTGTTTGGTGTATGTGTGGTATGTTTGCATGTGGGTGCATGTATGTGTGCAAGGCATGAGTGTGTATGGGGTGTGTGTGTTGTGCATGTGGCATGTTTGTGTATGGTGCATGTGGCATGCTGTGTGTAAGTATGCATATTGGTGGTGAGGGCATGCATGTGTGTGAGGAGAGTATACATGTGTGTGCATGGGGAGCATGTGTGGGGGGAGTGTACGTTTGTGTGGAGGAGCATACGTGTGTGTGGGGGAGCATACGTGTGTGTGGGGGAGCATACGTGTGTGTGGGGGAGCATGCGTGTGTGTGGGAACATACGTGTGTGTGGGGAGCATACGTGTGTGTGGGGAGCATACGTGTGTGTAGGGGAGAGTACATGTGTGGGGGCATGTACATGGGTGAGGGAGCATGTGTGTGTGTATGGAGGAATGAACAGTGGAACCTCTACTTGTGAGTTTAATCCGTTCCATGACCTTGCTCACAACTGGATTTGCTCATTTGCAGAATCAATTTTTCTCAATTAAATAAACTGAAATGCAATTAATCCGTTCCAGTGGAGTTCTGTACTTCAATAATTTCGCTAATATCAACTTTACGGCTTATTTATCTATCTCACTTGATCTAATATGACATAACAGTATAAATAACATAGAAACCTGATATATACTCTAAAATGAATAAAATACGTAATTCATGTAGTGGTATGGGCGTTGTCGGCGGTGGACGACAGTTTGTCTGGAGACCGGACAAAATACTTCTTGAATAATTTCACTAATATCATCTATATGGCTTATTTATCTATCAGAGTTCATCTAATATGACATAACAATATAAATAACATAGAAATCTGATATATACTCCAGAATGAATAAAATGTCATTCTGTAACAGGTGGAGGAGGCCACAACTGCTCCCTCTTTGTTGTGACAAACACTGCCATCTAGTGACAGCCTTTTGAAGCTGTCTATTATAATTATTATGTAGTACATTATTATTATTATTATATATTATTACTGAAACAGCAAACACTCAATGTTTTCTTCACCATAGGAAAAAACCTTGCAGGCAAAATTCCAAGCTCAAATACCCCACCCAATGACTACCTTACTGGCACCTACCCGAACACTATTCCTCGCTCCGACCAACCCAACAGAAGTCTCATTTATTATCAACACACTAAAGAACAAGACGGGAGATTTAAATACCTTGGCACCCTTTATGTACAATCATAAGTGCTGTCACCAATCATTGTAACACACTTCAACAAATCCATTGAATCCTCTACCTTCCCTACATTTCTCAAAATAGCGAGGGTCACCCCGATACATAAAGGAGATCAAGCAGACTTGAATAACTATAGGCCAATATCCAACTTACACCCTCTCTAAAATCTTAGAAAAACTAATTCGTAAGCGAATCTATTCCTACCTCATCTCCCACAACATGCTCAAGCCCTGTCAGTTTGGGTTCAGGCCTAATAAAAATACGAATGATGCTATTATACACATTTACACAAATATACACTGCACTCGAGAAAAAAGAAGTCCCATTGGGGATCTTCATTGATTTACGTAAAGCTTTTGATACAGTTGACCATCATTTGCTGCACATAAAATTATCATACTATGGTATAAGAGGGCACTCCCTCAACTACCCAAAGTCATACCTTAGCAACAGAAGCCACTGTGTGCACACAAATGGAGCAAGCTCTTCACACAGCCAATTACAGTTGGTGTCCCACAGGAAAGTGTCCTTGGCCCTCTTCTCTTTCTCATTTACAAAAACGACCTACCAAATGTGTCGCAACTACTCAAACCCACACTATTTGCAGATGACACTACATACGTCTTCTCTCACCCAAGCCCAGTCATACTAGCCAATACTGTAAATACCAAATTACAGAAAATATCTACCTGGATGATGATTAACACACTTACTCTCAATATTGACAAAATCTACTACATTCAGTTTGGGAACAGAGCTACAGATGTCCCTCTTAACATAATGATAAATGGATCACCTATCACAAAGCTCACAGAGGGAAAATTCTTAGGAATCCACCTTGATAATAGACTCAAATTTCAATCACATGTACAACAAATTTCCAAGAAAATTTCCAAGACCGTAGGCATACTATCGAAGATACGGTACTATGTTCCACAGTTAGCCCTCCTGGCCCTATATCACTCACTCATTTACCCCTATCTCACCTATGGAATTTGTGCATGGGGCTCAACAACAATAAATCATCTCAGACCATTAAATACCCAACAAAAAGCTGCAGTCAGAATGATAACAAATTCCCACTCCAGGCAGCATACTCCACCAATATTCAAAACCCTAAACTTACTCACCGTACAAAACTTCCATACTTATTATTGTGCCTACTACATACATATAACACTAAACTTGGGTATAAACCCTCCCCTCAAGCTTCTTACCAACCTCAACACATGACCATAACACAAGACACAGATCACTCTTTGATGTTCCTCGTGTCCATCTCACACTATGTAAAACCTCAATTCACATAAAAGGCCCAAAAATCTGGAATTCATTACCTGTGAAATACTGTCTGTTTATCAATTCAAGACTCTTCTTAAAAACCACTTACTCAACCACAACTAAATAATTACTGAATAACTGAATCTCATAAACGTATAACCTGTGACCCTATCAAACTATGTTTTTTTTAATTACATTACCTAATAGAATACTCCATTCTCTTGAATGCACAGTAACTCATCTAATGACCATATGACCTGTTTCTGCACTGCAAATCATTGATTTTACTCGATCTGATTCGATTATATTATACATTGTTATGCTACAAATTTGTACAACTTTAATGCTTCTTATTTGAAATACTCATTTGTACAGGTCCACCATCACAAATCCGGCAATCAGTTATTTGGTTCCTTCAGTTATTCGGCACTAATTTTGGCTAGCATAATTTCAAATTTCCAGGGTCACCACACCAACCTCCTGGTACTGTTTGGTGGCGCTACTTGCTGCATAAGTCATTCCAATTTCTTTTTCTCCATTTATTGTTTTAACCTGCTTACTTTTAGCCCTAGCCATGGTTGCAATGAATAAAAGAAATGCTTCTCATTGTGTAAAGCACCTACACAGTACATTATCCATTAAAGATAAGGTGGCTTTGAAGCCATTGTCAGTTGCCATGAGCTCAGTCTCATGAAGCAGGAGAATATGCTTTATTATTACGCTAATATCAACACTACAGCTTATTTGCCTATCACAATTGATCTAATAAGACATAATAAACAATATAAATAACATAAAACATGTTAAATACTCCAGAATAAATAATTGGCATAACACCGAGCAGTTCGACAGTTATGAAGAGGATATGATATACAAATACCATTCTCCTATCCCTGTCTTGGTGGCTTATATTAGAGAAAACGGAGTGTAGCACAGGGCTAACTGTGATATACACTCGTACTCCACCATAAACCTGAAACAAAAAAGTTATTTTCTCTATATAGATTATCACACACAGCAGCATATGTGTAGAGAACCTAGGATAACCCAAAAAAGTCAACGTGGCTTGGGTTAGCCATATATGATTTTTGGTAAATATTCGATTCCCAGCCAGGGTAGAAGCATTAGGTGTGTTTCTTTACACCTGTTGTCTATGTTTACCCATCAGTAAATGGGTACCTAGGTGTTAGTCGACTAGTGTGGGTGTTATCCTGGGACACTGACCTAATTTTCTTGAAATACTCAGCATAACAAGCGGCTTTCTATACAGTAGTATGTCACTGATGTCAGCTAGGCCTGTATACCTTGTATGTGTAGTAAATAAAGATTTTTATTATTATTATTATTATTATATTATTATATTATTATTATTTTCTCAGTTGTTTGTTGGGTTATCTTATTCAAACTTGGGCAGTGTATGATGGAAAGATGCTTCTTCACGTATACCAAAAATGAAAGAAATCAGACCATAAATAGCGGAGTTCACTTCTCAGCCATTAGCGGCTGCTTAGCGGTATATTTTTTGTATGGTTTTATGGTTATATTCTCATTTTTTCGGTTTCATTTGATAGAATGAAAGATATATTACAGAAATAGATATGATTTTGATTGCTTTCATGACGAAAAGTACCTTGAAATTGCGCTCACAGTAGCGAAAATGTTCTATTCTTTAGCGAATCTCAAGAGTAAACAAATGACATCACCGTCCAATACCTGTCCGCCTGCCAGTCCAAATTCCAATATGCAGTCAAGAATGGGTTGACATTATTTATACAATTATTACAATAATGCAGTAGTCTGCATAACAGTAAATCTTCTACTTTTTTGTGAATAAAAATTCCAAATGGTAAGCAAGAGTAATATAAGAAAGGGCCTGGAGCCATGACTAATGAACAGAGAAAATGTTATTTTAGTGTCGAGAATGTCTGCATTGTTTATTCTAGACCCTATTTTGAAATTGGCATCTGTTGAAATTTGTGTGAAATCTGCCAAACTGCCAATTTCTGACCACTTCATTGGGTAGTTGAAATAAGTGAATGGGCAATTTCTTGTACTCAGTTGACAGACTAGAAGTAAATAAATGTATTAAGGTATACACAAATACAGTTACATAGATTATCATACATAGCAGTGTATGTGTAGAGAACCTGGGATAACCCAGAAAAGTCAGACAAAGTGACTTATTTCCAGTACCTG